TCTCGTGAAACTATAGCCTAATTTTATAATAATTAACCCAAACCCAAAAATTTAAGTTACAAACCCTTGAAAATTAATGTTTGTGTTTATAATATTTTTGAAACGTTTAAAAAATTATGATATTTTAAAAACCAAAACTTCAAAATATGATATTTTAGGAAATTCTTCTCACTTTATTTTCTCGGGAAAATGGCCTTTTTGGACCAGAACTATTGCCATCGGACCTTTTTGGACCTGATATTTTAATATTGGCCAATTTAAACCCGAACCTCAAATTAAATCAAACTAGATTTTGACCCACGCCAAGCGTGTATTCTAATATTTATAAACATACTAAAATGATATGTATTGTACATAAATGTAATAAAATTAAATTTTGATCAACCATAAATATATTTTATCTTTGTTATTTTAATTTCTCCCATCTATTAAAAATAAACATAAATTTTTTTTTTCGAATATTCTAATCTTGCGTTTGACTCGGATAAAAAAATCTAGTAATTATTGAAAAGAAAATAAGATATTATCAAATATTTTATATATTTCTTAAATAAAATTCTCTATATTAATTACCATATATTCGTTATTTCTATATATATTTTATTAATAATTTTTAATAATTTTTTTTAGGAAAAGAGTTCCTTAAAATCCTCTTAGGATGACACATAGGATTTTCACATAGTGTCTCCTCTATTAATATATAGAGGATTCAATACCAAAACATACGATTTTATTGTTTATTTAGATCTTGACCAAGTCACTGTTAGTCAACGTTAACGTAACAGTGACATTGACGACACGTAGACAAAGGGAAACGACATTTTTGGAGCAGAACTATTGCCATCGGGCCTTTTTGGACATGATCTTTTAACATTGGCCAATTTAAACTCGAACATAAAATTAATTCAAATTTTTGTCTCTATTTCCAGAGTTTCGATCTCCAATGGACAGTGACATGGATGACACGCAGACAAACGACTCGATTTCGTTTGAACAACAGCCTCACAAGTTTTTGTCTCCATTTCTAGAGTTTCGATCTTTGATTCACAAGCTCCTAATGTCTTTTGTAGCTTAGACATAGAGGAATCGATGAATTAGGGTTAGAGAGGAGAAACAGGAGTAACTGGTCTGCCACAATGTCTGAATTTTGAAGAGGCTTCCCTAAGATATGCAGATGTGGAGAAGCCGTAGTGATGAAAACGTCTAGGACCGCTTGAATTCCTGGAAGACTGTTTCATGCTTGTCCAAATGGATCAGAAGAGGTCTGTCCATGTATTTTATTATGTAAAGTAGATTTGTATTGTGGAAAATGGTGTTTAAATTGTGATTAGACAGGGGAATTGATGAATTAAGACTAGAGAAGATAAAGAAGAGTAACTGTGTTTAAATTGTGCATTGGTTTGGTTTCATGTGTTTAAGCGGTTTCATGTTTCTGCAGAATAAATGGTTTTATGTGTTTAAGTGGACTGATGAGTGTATGGTTGAAAAGCTTGAGGATTTGGTAGAAAAAGTAGATGACATCGAAGGAACTTTGGCTAAGCTACAAAAGACATTAGGAGCTTGTGAATTAAAGATCGAAACTCTAGAAATGGAAACAAGAACTTGTGAGACTGTTGTTCAAACGAAACCGAGCCGTTTGTCTGCGTGTCATCCATGTTACTGTCCATTGGAGATCGAAACTCTGGAAATAGAGACAAAAATTTGAATTAATTTGAGGTTCGGGTTTAAATTGGCCAATGTTAAAAGATCAGGTCTAAAAAAGCCCGATGACAATAGTTCTGGTCCAAAAAAGTCATTTTCCTTTGTCTACATGTGGTCTATGTCACTGTTCCGTTAACGTTGACTAACGCTGATTTGTTCAAGGTCTAAATCAACAACAAAATCGTATGTTTGGGTATCGAATTTGAATTAATTTGAGATTCGGGTTTAAATTGACTAATGTTAAAAAATCATATCTAAAAAGATCCAATGACAATAGTTCTGGTCCAAAAAGACTGTTTTCCTTTATTTTCCCACCGTTGGTTTTTCAAGTTGAAAATGTCATTTTTTGTCTTCTCGTGTGTCTCTGAGTCATTTTTCGTCTTTTTCCATTTCCTTATTTTTCAATTTTTTATGTAATCTTTCTTTTTTAATTGCTCTCTTTCGACCTTCATATTTATTAGAGAATCTACATTAGGAGTCTATAGGAAAATCTTTCACAATAAAAAATTAACAAAATTAAGAAAGAAGAAGAGAGCGAATGACTATTGTCTCTAAAATGAACGACGATGATATCTTGATGAGAAACTTATAAGCCGCATGTCAAACGGCCAGACTTAGTCTTGACCCCCAAGTTCAGATTATGCTAAATCTTCACTCAATATCTTCTTTCCTTATCTTTAGCAATATATTAGAAAAATCTTCAAGCTCCTTGATCCTCTTCAAGCTTCGCCTCCAGCTCAGCTAGAGCATCAAGTCACGTCCATCCTAGCTCACGACTAGAACAGGTCACGACTACAGCAGCTACATCTTCATATGTGAGACTGCCCTTGAGATGCCAAGTTCGGTATGATGTATTCGGTTGGATTAATTCAACCGTATAAACCGAAACAAACAAAATTGAATTGATATCAACCAAATGTCAAACATATTATACGAAAGTATCGACGTCACAATGCATTCCCGACAACGCATTATAGCCGGTTTCCTAGATCTACGAATACGATTAGAAATATCCGATCCGACTACACCAAAACCTGGTCCGAAATCGAGATAAAATGTTTTGATTTTGATTTTTTAAAATATTTTTTTTGCTCTGTAACGCATATTTTTAAATTTTTAAGAAAATAAAGTTTTCTATAGATAAACAAATTCAACAATCCGATGAATATCAAAAAATCCGTCTTAAATAACAATGCTAAAAAGTTACATATTTTTTTTTGAAACTTTGACAAAATTGGTTGCCAGATTTTCATAGTTTTTTTTTAATTT